ACATTCACTTACTAATTGTTTTAAATTAAAGAAATCAGCTAATTGCTTCAGATGGTTCGAATTGCTAGTATCATGCCAATTAATGTTAAAATCACCCGCAAGTATATTTAATTTACTAGAATCTAAAAATGTCTCGAACCAGTTCTCTAAAATTTCAATAAAACGCTGATTACTTGAACTGGGAGAATGATACAAAACACCATAATTACCCATCTTCATGCCACGTTCAACTGTAATGCCTAAGAACCAATTGCCATCAATAACTTCGTTTTGGCGAATATTGAATTGAACTGATTCTTTGACATAAATAGCAACACCGCCAGTGTGCCTCGAATGTGACAAACAAGCAGCAGCTTTATATCCCGGAATGCTATACTGATCAAAAGATTCAATTTCTACAATATGTGTTTCTGCTAACAAAACCAAAAGTGGACGATTTTCTTCTACAATCTGACGTAATGTTACGTAGTTTGTAGATAACCCCGCAATATTCAAATATAAAATCTCTAATTTATTCACATTACTACTGGAACTTGGTTGCTATTTATTGAAATGTAAGCTGCTTTTTTTCTGATCATATAGTTTTTTATACACAAAACAATTAGAACTAAATGCTGCGTGGTTGACGTCCAGATTTAATTTACGCTCCTTATTAGTTTTTAAACCATTAACGCATTTCAATACAGTTGACGTACACTTAGAGGTGCTATGTTGTTTGCTGCATCTAGAGCATCGTTCGCAATTTTTGCAATCCGTGCTTTTGTGCCCAAATTCTCCACATCTGAAGCATCGCAAAACATTAATCGCGGGAACTATCGAGCACCGATCAAACCCTACATTTACTTTTTTCGCACATAACAAACATTTATACGTCTCGATATCGACTTCAATCACAACACTAAACTTGTTGTAAGTGAAGCGTGGATTTTCAAACATGTTAACTACTTTTACATCATTAATTGCGATGTCTTCATTTTGACTTTTTAAGAAGTCAATGAAGACATCGGAGGAATACTGATCGCTCATGTCCACCACTTTTAACATTGGCACCGATGTGGGAACAACAGCGTTGTAGTTTTCACCCAAATTGCTTTCAATGCCCTTTTTCACCTCATTTACATTGTATCCTGTTACACACTCAACAATAATGGAGCCATCTTTCCCGTTTCTAAAGTTACTGATTTTGTGTGTTTTTGGACCCAGGTTTGTTTTCAAAAACTTGCGAGTTTCCTCGCAGTCTTGTTTGGACTCTTTAGGTTTAATCACAATGACCGGGCGAGCCTTACGGTTGTTCAGTTTTTTACTTTCAAACTTACTTTTATCATTTTCTACTTTATTTTTACTGATATCCTTACTTTTACTGTCCCCTTGTCCGTTTTTCAAAGCGTCAGCGAAACTACATTTAACTTTATCATTAGTAGAATTCTCTTCGTCATGACTATTACTATTACCATCGGGGATTTGACCCGCTTCAGAGGGAATCGGCCCAGATCCACTGCTATTATTCATTGTAACTAAATTTTTGTCCGCAATAATTCTCGAAAATGAACTAGTCATATTTTCCAATTTTTCATTTAATAATATTTCAAGTCCGCCAACGGCTTCCTTCAGGGTACCATTTACATTTAAACGGATAGCTTCCATACCGGTCTTCAACGCGTTATCAATTTGAGCAGCAATCTGATCTCGCATGTTTGTGATCGAGGCCGAAATAGAAGATATTCTTTTCACTTCTTCCTCAATATTTCTAACATGCGAGATAGAATCACTCGGCTCGTCACAACTAGACAGACAATCGTCACACTTGTATAGGAGATTAACATTCTCCATGACAACCTTTGCCGTACTCCTAGTAAGTGTAGTGCATCTCATGTGGAACACACGAGAACACTTACCACTACAGGTTAACGGCAGATCGCTTGCCATTACCCCCGACTCGCATTTTGGACATTCCATTTCTACCTAAACACAGTCAACAGACGCTGCATGCAACAATACACAGGGTACAGAAGAGACAATTAAATATCGATTTCACCGCCGCAGCTACTATAGGAAAGCAATTGCTTCCTTTCAGTGCGCCGGGGGGATCGAAGAATAAGCAAAATTTTACGAGAACGGCTACTTTTGTAACCTGTTCTCCTACTTATCCTGTTATCAAATACAATTGGGCACGCGTTGCAATTAATCAATCGCGGCACACAACACAATTTCACACATAATTAAAAATAATATTTTCACTGCACAACAAATTGAACTACACTGTTTGCCATCACACAGAGCAAATTTCATTGAAATACAACTGAAGGTTATGCTTACCTTTTAACCAAATGGTGTTATACTTATTTCCTATGATAACTTTTTAAGATGTATGCGGTAAAATGCAATCTTTGTGATCAACTGCTTGTTTTCACCATTCAAACTCATTTAAGTATCAGATCGATAGGTATAATTTCTACATTAGGTACAGACAGATGTTTTTGGTGTTCACTACTACAGTGTTGAGTATTTGACTTATTACCGTTAAGATCACTGATACAACTATGCAAAATTGAAGACAATGAATAAAAAAGAAAATTAATCGCTAGTTTGAGCATCATTTCTCTTTTATTTAGTTCTAGCTCAATATTCATCAAATGAATTTTTTAGTTTTGTTACTAACGATACCTTTTCATGGTATCAGATGTAATGAATCCTAACTTTTCAATAGGGCCTGTGTATAAAAACACTAATGCAATAAACATATGTATATTGCAAAAACGGCTTGCTTGATTGCATTGGTGTCTTCGAGAAAGTTGTGCAAAATTAAAATGCAATTCTTGAAAAAATATACACGGTTGAAAAACATGTGTTTTTAATGTAAATGTAAAAATCGTAAAATTTTCAAAAAATCATAACTGTTTTTGAGTTTACCATCACCAAACTTTGCCAGTTTGTAGCAAACATTATGAGCTTCAATGAGGCTTAAAACGAAAACGAAAAAATGTACTTTTTGAGAAATTAATTTTTTTAATAAGAAATATATTTTTTTTCATTGAAACAAACGAATTTTTTTACAGTGTATATTTTTAACATTATTGCCAAAATAATATCTACAACTTTGCTCAATACACCAAATTAATCGAACAAAGCGTTTCAGCAATATAAATTTTTTAACTCATTAGTACTATTTTTACACAGGCCCTGTTAGAAAAGTAGTCGTGATTCAATTTGAAGAACTGATAACACAAATTGGCATCTTTACTAAAAAAGAACAACTGTGCAAATTTTCATCAAAATCGGAGCCGACCAATTAAAAAAAAATTAAAAAATTCGTCAATCTGTAGAGAATTGCTCAGTTCACATTAACTCCTAGTTGACAAGCATATATTGATTAAATCCGCAATACCCAGTTATTGACGATAAGCTTTAAAATATTTATCATGCTTGCGGAGGTTGGTTTTTACATCACAAATCACAAATTACAAATTCAGATTAAACATATCTGAACTCAATCGTCATCGTAGATAGTCCTTCAATTCCTTGATGTCATTTTCCGACGTTACAAAATCCAATCCGTTGTTTGTTTCTATTCCACCAGCAGAAGAGATAACAATCTCATGTCTCGTATCGCTGATGGGTGCAGCACGTCCAGAGGCTACACGGGACGACGATAACGTTTATTTTTGTAGTTGTTATCTATGTTCGATCATGGGCACCCGCCGCTCGGGCAGCTCCTTTTCACTTTACACACACAACGTACATGTATGCATGCGCTGTGATGACGTATCGGACGATACGACACACTGCCGGTGTCATGTGATTTGAGCACGTGCCCTGATGATGATACTGATATTTTGTTTTCACAAGGTTCGGTCCCTGCAGGATTGCAGTCAGCCCCAGTCGGTGCAGTAGATGTGGATATGTACGTTTCAAGTCGACCATCATGAACATTTAATACCTATATGTCGTTGTATTTTGATTCGTTAGCTTGATGTTGACAATGGAAAATTCAGATCAATGTTTTTACTTTATTTCATTTGACTTTTTAAGCAGCTAACATTTACATTATTGTTCTTCTTCTTCTTTGGCTTTACTACGTCCCCATTGGGACTCTACGCCGGCTCTCAACTTAGTGTTCTTTTAGCACTTCCACAGTTGTTAATTGAGAGCTTTCCCGAGCAAAGTTAGAGATCAAATTGAAATCAGAATTTGCTGTTATGATGTAACTTATTTTGAATACTCCATTTGATCTCATTTTGGTTGACTTAACGGTTAACACATCAAAAATGAGAGCAAAATTTTACACTGTTGAATCAAACGGAAAACTAATCCTGCTTTCAATGAAATCAATTTGATTACTGATTTTGCATTCATAATGTTTGACTGAATACGGGCCTGGTGTAAATGGTTAGCATCTAAGCTTCTCACGCTGAAAGACTTGAGCTCAAATGTCACCTCGGGTTGGTTACGAATGACCTAAAATGTGTTAAACAAAACAATTAAACAATAACCGTTAGTTCAACGACAGATAAGCTTAACTTAAATTTTAAACAAGACGTTAACAGCAGAACTTCAAGTTAAGTTGCTTTCATTTAAAATGTCTGGACTGCATAATGAAAGCACAATATGATATCAGACTAATGTCGTGACAATTGTAATCAAAATGAGTATTCATTATGATAGGAACTGCAATCTTTAATATCGATTTGCTTTCATTTTGTTAACCGACTTTGCTCGGGTTCTGAGCCTGTACCATTTTTGCAATAATACAATTGTGTGGCAAGTACAATCATACCTACTCTTCTGTCCAGGGAAGTCGAGAAATTTTCCAACCAAAATTGTATAGACCGGACCGTGAATCGAACCCAGCCACCTCCAGCATGGTCTTGGGTTCAAGCTTGAACCCTGGGCAGAGTTGTCAGGCTTGGTGTAATTATTTGAGCTGAGGATTATTCATAATCATAGTAGTTAAGTTTTGTATCAAATCTGACAGTTTCATTTTTTCCCTCTTTTTTTTACAGATTTACTTCGCAAAAGAATTGCATTCGGTCGTGATGGATGTTATTTCAAATGCCCTAAGTGAATCTGTTACAGCTCAATTATTGTGCGGGCATTAAGTGTAAAATACGAACATAAATCATTGCGTAAGGGTAACCAAATTGCAAAGCAGAATGGGTGTCAACTCCTCGTCGCGGCAGGATGTGAGTCTGCTCTCGGATGAAGACGGTGAGTCCTTTGCATTTCTAATTCATTGAAAACATAGCCCCTATCGCGATGTACTTCTACTAGGTCGAAGTGAGGTATCTGAGGTATCAGATTAATTGAATCCACTTCCAGTCGCTTGGGTTTCCATTTATCATTCGCTCGCTCGATTCATTGGCTCGGGACGCAAAACCCAGTCCGTGCAGGCCGTTGTTTGAGGGAAGTTGAAATGGTAACGATGCTGATGGGACCGCGTGGCAAGCGTGTTGCCAAGATTCGCACTCCGATATCGTCGTTTGTGGTGTGCTGGTGTATGTATGTATTGTTGACACTGGTAGTTTCAATGGCTGGTGGGGAAATTAGATCTTCGTTGTCATCGTCAGTAGATTGTTCCAATGGTAACGAGGGTGCGTGTAGTATAACTTTGTTTGTGATGACGCTGCCGCTCGAAACAATGGATAGTAGTGTTTGACGGCGCGTGGCGTGTGGAGTTGGTTGTTTGTTGATGGTTCATTTGCTAGAGATTATTGATAAGACGCGATGGTACACAGCTAACTGCTGGGCGTCAAATATTATGATATTTTGGTTTTGAATTTTAAATTTTAAATTTTGAACTGTTCTTGAGCTGTTCAATTTCGGAGCATGTTTAATTTTTAACAGTTCATTTTCAGTTTAGTTTAAACAGCTTCTCAAACACATATGAAATATAAGGTAAAATCCATTCTCCAAATTGTCCAGGAAAATTGATTTTAATTATAGACAGAAATCGGTACTAAGGCTATTTTTTAAGTGGAAAATAGCCTTAGTACCGATTTCTGTCTATTCTGCGTCCATCGTCCTGGCTCTTTAACTTTTACGATTCCCTCATCACATTCCATAAGGCTAGTCTTGATGAGAAAGAGATATCATAACAAATTTTTACTATAACACCTGTTTACTCTGAAGTAAAGCGAGAGCTCATCAGCCTAGGTTCATTTAGAAAAAATCTTCAACGATATCGACGAGATGTCTTCAAAATTTCCGGGTGGAGGAAATGTTAGAAATCAACAGAAATTCGTGACAGTTAAGAGAACATCATTCTATTTGTAAGACCTTCTTGAAAGTAAGAGGAGCGTTGTAGAATTTCAAGGAACTTCATGGTTCTTCAAGAAACATCGTGGAACTTTTGAAAACTTCATAGGCATTAATTGCATGCATCTACCTGTTGGAGACTGAATTTAGGTACCTGTTTAGGTAAATTGTGACATGGTAGTGGATACCTGCTGATTTTTAGTACCTATTTATTAGTATATAACTCGTAGATAAAAGATGGATTCTTCAGTGGTGTTGAGTACTTGGCACTGATGAAGTCCGCAAGTAGTAGAAGAAATACGCGTATTTGTCAAAAGATAAAATATTATAAAGGAATTGAAAGGAAACAAACCAACCCACCCAAAGCTCTTCATTAATTGAACTTTGTAAAAGCTCTGGAAACTTTCAAGAAGTGCAACAAATTTTATAAAAAAAACAACTAACTTTGTAAAAGCTCAGAAAACTTTGTAAAACTCTGTAAACTTCATAGAACTTCAGCGAATGTTGGAGAACTTCAGCAAGTTTTGTATAAGTTCAGAGAACTTTGTAGAGCTTGTAGACATTGTTGAACAAAAGCGAACTTAAGAGAAATTTTGCGAATTTTGCAGATATTCGGAAATTTCGTTGACGTTCAGGGTTATTTCATTAACTACTATAGATTTTTAAAATTTTAGATATTCAGAGGACATCAAGGTTCAGCCCTGAATTCGTAGAGCTTTAGACAATTTTGAAGAAATTTTGGGTGGTTCTGGAAAACTATGTATAACTGGGAGTCCAAGTGGGAGTCAACAAACCTAATGAAAGTTCTTCTTCTAGCTTCAGGGCACTTCTTAAAACAGAAAATAACTTCGTAAGACTCCTTAACTTCTTAAGACTTACAATTAAAAAAAAAATATGGAACTTTCTAGGAGTCCAGCAAATTTCATAGGACTTATGAGAACTTTGTGGAAGCCTTGTGAATACTTCATTGAAGTGCTGGGATTTTTTTTAATTAAATTAACTTAAAAATCGTAGAAACTCAGTGAATTTCTTAGAAATTCAGGATTTTTCTCAGAAGCTCAGGAAGTATTGTCGAAATTCAGCATAATTCTTAGAACTTCAGGATTTGATTTGGAAGCTTTGGGAATTTCAAGGAAAAGGTTCTAGGTCTTTCCTGATGTTTGGAGAAAGTCCCGTCACAGAATTTGGTTCCCTTTCCGATTGAGAAAATGAAGCGTTGATGAAATTTCCTTCTCCATGTCCATATAAACACCTCTCACACCTGTGCGCAAGTCATGGAAACTTCTCCCGGAGGACAAGCTTAACCCTTTCCTATTTCCCCAGCACCAACGATATATCCCGATCCGGCACCTCGGGTGGAAGATCGTTAGCCCGAACGTTTTGAACATGAGTACCTCAATTGCTCCGGGTTATACAGCAATGTATACAGCATTTGAACTTAATGAAAACCACCTTCTCCTCTTCAATCTGATATGTTGCTTCCATCTCAGCGGGATTGACATCCAGTGCCTCCACAAAACCACCAATGGAGGGCTTCGCTATTCATGTTGGGAAGTGTAATCCAATGGTGTTCTTCACTATTTGGAAAATTTTCAATTTGCAATGGTTCATTTTGCAAAAGGTCAATTTAAAATTGGTCAATTTTCAATTGGTCAATTTTCGGTTGGTCAATTTTTGATTGGTCAATTTTCAATTGGTCAATTTTCAATTGATCAATTTTCAATTGGTCAATTTTCAATTGGTCAATTTTCAATTGGTCAATTTTCAATTGGTCAATTTTCAATTGGTCAATTTTCAGTTGGTCAATTTTCAATTGGTCAATTTTCAATTGGTCAATTTTCAATTGGTCAATTTTCAATTGGTCAATTTTCAATTGGTCAATTTTCAATTGGTCAATTTTCAATTGGTCAATTTTCAATTGGTCAATTTTCAGTTGTCAATTTTCAATTGGTCAATTTGCAATTGGTCAATTTTCAATTGGTCAATTTTCAATTGGTCAATTTTCAATTGGTCAGATTTCAATTGGTCAATTTTCAATTGGTCAATTTTCAATTGGTCAATTTTCAATTGGTCAATTTTCAATTGGTCAATTTTCAATTGGTCAGTTTTCAATTGGTCAATTTTCAATTGGTCAATTTTCAATTGGTCAATTTTCAATTGGTCAATTTTCAATTGGTCAATTTTCAATTGGTCAATTTTCAATTGGTCAATTTTCAATTGGTCAATTTTCAATTGGTCAATTTTCAATTGGTCAATTTTCAATTGGTCATTTTTCAATTGGTCTATTTTCAATTGGTCAATTTGCAATTGGTCCATTGGTCTTTGTCAATTTGCAATTGTTCAATTTGAAATTGGTCAATTTGCAGTTGTTCAATTTGTTATTGGGCAATTTGCAATTGGGCAATTTGCAATTGGTCAATTTGCAATTGGTGGATTTAAAATTGATTGGTAATTGGTCAATTTGAAATTGTTCAATTTGCAATTGGTCATTTTGAAATTGGTCAGTGACCAATTGCAGCATTTTGCAATTTGCCAATTTGCCGTACGTCAATTGCAGCTGATAAATTTGCAATTGGTCGATTTTCCTTTGATCAATTTGTAGTTGGTCAACTATCAATTTTCAATAAGTAAATTTGCAATTGTTCAATTTGAAATTGGTCAATTTGCAATGGGTCAATTTGCAATTGGTCAATTTGCAATTGGTCAATTTGCAATTGGTCAATTTGCAATTGGTCAATTTGCAATTGGTCAATTTGCAATTGGTCAATTTGCCTTTGGTGAATTTGCAAATGGTCAATTTGCAATTGGTCAATTTGCAATTGGTCAATTTGCAATTGGTCAATTTGCAATTGGTCAATTTGCAATTGGTCAATTTGAAATTGGTCCATTTGCAATTGGTCAATTTGCAATTGGTCAATTTGCAATTGGTCAATTTGCAATTGGTCAATTTGCAATTGGTCAATTTGCAATTGGTCAATTTGCAATTGGTCAATTTGCAATTGGTCAATTTGCAATTGGTCAATTTGCAATTGATCAATTTGCAATTGGTCAATTTGCAATTGGTCAATTTGCAATTGGTCAATTTGAAATTGTTCAATTTGCAATTGGTCAATTTGCAATTGGTCAACTTGCAATTGGTCAATTTGCAATTGGTCAATTTGCAATTGGTCAATTTGCAATTGGTCAATTTGCAATTGGTCAATTTGCAATTGGTCAATTTGCAATTGGTCAATTTGCAATTAATCAATTTGAAATTGGTCAATTTGAAATTGGTCAATTTGCAATTGGTCAATTTGCAATTGGTCAATTTGCAATTGGTCAATTTGCAATTGGTCAATTTGAAATTGTTCAATTTGCAATTGGTCAATTTGCAATTGGTCAACTTGCAATTGGTCAATTTGCAATTGGTCAATTTGCAATTGGTCGATTTGCAATTGGTCAATTTGCAATTGGTCAATTTGGAATTGTTCAATTTGCAATTGGTCAATTTGCAATTGGTCAACTTGCAATTGGTCAATTTGCAATTGGTCTATTTGCAATTAGTCAATTTGTAATTGGTCAATTTGTAATTGGTCAATTTGCAATTGGTCAATTTGCAATTGGTCAATTTGCAATTGGTCAATTTGCAATTGGTCAATTTGCAATTGGTCAATTTGCAATTGGTCAATTTGCAATTGGTCAATTTGCAATTGGTCAATTTGAAATTGGTCCATTTGCAATTGGTCAATTTGCAATTGGTCAATTTGCAATTGGTCAATTTGCAATTGGTCAATTTGCAATTGGTCAATTTGCAATTGGTCAATTTGCAATTGGTCAATTTGCAATTGGTCAATTTGCAATTGGTCAATTTGCAATTGGTCAATTTGCAATTGGTCAATTTGCAATTGATCAATTTGCAATTGGTCAATTTGCAATTGGTCAATTTGCAGTTGGTCAATTTGCAATTGGTCAAT